GCATTTAAGTTTTTACTGTGTTATTGAAATTTGTATTGACTGCGCAAAGATTTGTATTTCGACAACCATATAACCTTGCTATTACCATGAGTTTGTTTAAATGTGTCTATCGGATTCTTTAGGAACTGCTAGAGGAGGTGAGAAAAGAGCTTCAGAAGGTTAAGAATGAAATCATCGAAGGTGAGAACAAGTTTTTCCCTTTCCTGTCCCTGCTGTGTTTAAAATGATGTTTGTATTATAACATCTGTTCTTTCACAGCCTTTATTCAGGAGTTACAGAAACGAGGATCTACATAGTCCCAGAGAGATGGATGGGAGGGGATTTGCTCGGTCCTGAGAACCCAGGGATACACAACACACACATAATCACCAAGGGACTTAACCCTAAATCATAACAATTCAACCCAAGATGAGCTTTGTTGTACCTTTACCTGCCATTGTTTTTTTGTTTTTTTTTCACATTCATTCATTTCTTTTCTCTCCACATTTAGATTTACGTATTTAGTTTTCCACTTAATGATTTACATACCGTACACGTCGTCACCCTCACACTTGATTCCTGTTATACATAAATGCTCACCGTAAAACTTGCCTAAGGTTATTGTATTCAGGGAATAAAGCATATCACTTATCCCAGTGACTGTAATGGCCATATACAGAAGTTATGATGCAGCACTAAGGAGGCAAAAATGAGACCTGCAGTACGCACACTGTCTACCACACGTGACCATCATGTCGGGTTCCACTCTTGTGCTTTCAGTTGGGAGATTGTCATTTCAGCCCTGATTTAGCACCTCTTTTTCTGTATAGGGAAAACAATAGCATATTTAACACATTCATTTGAGGCCCTGAGCGTCATGTTTTGTGTGTGTGGTTGCATGTTTGCGTGTATGGCTGCACTTCCCTCCGTTTATCGGTGCCATCTTGTCACATGATCGCCACTATCTGTTGGTGCGAAACAACTGTTTTCATAACCTGTCTTCAGCCCTCGTTTGAAATGTTTTTAAACTTTGTGTTGCGATATGAAATACTATGGCCATGATGATTTTTGTCTGTTGGCCATGCCAAACTGCCTTGGAAAATACATATAAATATAAATATATATATATAAGGTATATATATTTGTTTTGAGGGAAAATGATAGAAAACTTGATAATGTTTTTATTTTAATTGAAATAATTGGTGAATGGGGACTTATTGCGATTTATAATGTTTTCTTTTTCAGAGATTGTTATTTTCAGTTTTCTGTTATCTTTTTTTGTTTCTTTTTCTATAGAATATAGGCTTTTTACACTGAAATATATAAAGAAAATTGCGTAGAGACACTGGATTAGATGTCTTTATAGTCAAATACAGATGCTTCTTCTACTGCACTTGTGTCTGCCTCGTTTTTATTACCACCATATACCCTTATCACAAGAAAATGCCATTTTCACAAGATGTAAAATATGTCCCTAGAGTGTGTGAGTGTGAAGTTTTAGCACTAAATACCACCCAGATATTTTTATATAGCGTAGCGTGTTAAAGTTGTCACTTTTTGAGGGTTTGCATAAACGCACCGTTTTGTGCCTGGCCCTTTAAATGCAAATGAGCTGCTGCAGAGGGCGGAGTTTCAGAGTGTTACCAGAGCCCATCTAACGGAGAGCCCTTGGTTGCAGTTCCATTAGAATTCCACTGGAGGTGATCGCGGGTGAGTGCAGAAATGAATGGGTGTCTATGGGGCTAAACGGCTAAATGTGTCTCTTTCACCTGCTATTCGTAAAAATCAACATAGATTTTATTGTTGATTCCGCAAGTTCAATATAGATTATAGGCCAAAAGTCGAATGAACGAGTACTTATGTCCTTTTGATTTCTTACAGGCTAGGCTGTTGTTGGCCGGAACACGCTAGCATTCTGCTATTGTGTGACGTCATCACAGTTTTGAATGGATTTTTAGAACAGATAAGCGAACTTGAAAATGCAATTTTCAGCTGAGAGTATTTTTCTTAGCCCTCCCTTTTTAATGCAACTTTCAAATTATTTGACAAAAAATTACATCCTGAGATAAGTGGATTTCTGGGGGTGAAATCCCATTGACTCCCATTCATTCTGCACACGACCGCGAGCGCCCCCGCATGGACAGAGGCGCGTTACTGCAGCCAGTCCAGAACCCGGAAGTAACCAGCCAGTGCCAATTCTCTTCAATTAGACATTCTCTGATGTTACCTCACTTCGATTTCCTCACGAACACACACTAAAATGACAGAAACTGTTCTCACTTTAATGTTAAAACAGAGTCAGTCAAATGTGTAGTCCCTACCAGCTATTTGTTGTAGTCCTTTTCTTTAAAAGCAAATATCTTCCCTTGCTTTGAACTTTGAGCATTGTAACTTTGATAGTACTGTTGTTTCTGCTCAAACAGATTGCACACTAACTAAAGTAAAGTTAGAAAAGTGGAATCATACTTTACCACCCCTTTAATCTATTATTTAGCCTTGCCACAGAACATATTTAGCTTATTCTTTGGCAGATTTTCTGGTTTCTCTGTTGATTAAATTGTTTGGTGATACAAAAAAATGATATGATAATACAGGTTAACCTATAGCATGAACACATAGGATGGGAAACATTGAAGTGAAACCTGAAATCAGCTCTTAAATAGGTTTCAATGCAATAATAGCCTACATACAACAGTAGTCAACCATATAAGGAAACATATTTGCAGCACATGTATTGTCATCACTCTTACTGGACATAATAAAAACAAGCTTGTTATGAAATCCAGGAAACAATTTCTTTGACTATATAAATGTTTATTTAGCCGTGGCTAAGAGAGCAACAGCAGAAGGATAATGAGCTGTTGTTTCCTGTTATGAATGGACCCAAGCAGAGTTGTCAACAACTGCTATATCACTCTGCTTTTAGAAGCCAGCCCTGATAAACACATTTGATTTTCAGAATAGAGGATTAGAATAACCTCAACAACAGACCAAACTGAGCGCAATAACAATACACAAATGTTACAATTCTGCAGATAATATCTGCTCTTTACAAATAGTTTTTGTGTTTTCTTTGTCACGCATGCATGTTTTCCAATTTCCACAGGCCCCTTCGTATGGAAATAAAGAAGGTCATTAAAAGAACCATGAACATATATCGTGTTACGTGAATTCTGTACAAAAATGCACGCTTGTGAAACGAATACACAGCAGATCGGATTAAAGTCACCATGAAATCAAAATAGACAAATCTTTCTTTTGTAATTAATCTGTGCGCATCACCATTATTATTTTTTTCACTCATATGCTTTTGCAATCGTTAATCAAAAATGTTAACCTCGACATTTGTTCTCTTTATGATGTACTGTATTTCATGGCAGAGGGAGGGACTAAAAACCTTCTAGCTCCACCCATTACAGCCAGAGAGGGGGATCTGGACATCATGCTTCACCCATGGCTCTGCAGTGAGCAGCCTATCCAAGGATCTGCTACAATTTAGTTAGCAACCCTCAACTTATGTTCCAATCGATTCCTGAGAACAAAATCAAGCCCCGCCCTACCAGAGCTCATATAGTTATAGTTATCGTAATAGTTATCGTTCTTGGTGTGAACGGGCCTTTATTATTGCAAGTCTCCAAGCAACACACAGTGGTGTATCATTCCTGGAAGAATCATATTTTTTGGAATGAAGGTTGGTTGGATGAATGATTTAATGAATCACTTATGGCTGTGTCCGATATCGCATACATTCTTGTTTTAAATAAGCAATTACTTAAAGTTGCGAACATCATTTCTTCCCTATTGTCACTCATATCTGTGTGAAACAGCTTCTCGAACAATAAAAAATGGAGGCCGGGACTTGATTTTGTCCATCGGGAATTGATTGGTTGATGACAGGTTGTCCCTCCCTCACACCAGATAACACATCATCAGAGAAGTGATGTCGCTGCAATAGGGAGGTTGAGTTATTTTGATTAAAGATTACAAGGGCATATGCATTAAAGGCAGGGTGGTGAGTTTGAGAAACTAGCAAAAAAACGGCTGGATTTTGAAAGTCCAACAGAGACACTCCCACCTCGTCCCTTCTGGGCTCCTTCAAAGCCACGCCCCCAAAACACATGAACATGTGATGCGGACCGCTCAGCTGGAGGACGTTTACCAGTGCAGTGCATGGAGTGACATCACCCATTTTTTTTGCCTTGTTTCCCTCCGCAGACTGTATATGGAGGTACATGTGGTGCCAACGCATTCTCATCCCAAGGCGTCATATACGACACTTTTGCCAAAACGTAGACATCCAACGCACATGGCACCCTTTAGCGTCAAATGAGACGCTTCGGTTATGGTAGGTTTAGGTATGGGGTAGGGTTAGGGTTAGACCACTAGGAGGCGCCTTCTGCCCAATATATCTGCGTCTCATTTGACGCTAAAGTGCGTTGGATGTCTACGCTTTGGCAAAAGCGTCGTATATGATACCTTGGGATGAGAACAGGCTCGTGGTACTGGGAATTTTGACTGCTCTTTCTCTGCCATAATTGTGAGGAAATACAAGTGACCATTTGTTTCACAGTTTTCATAAGAATTTATTTATGTGCCACTAATAAAAAAACTACTGTGGTGGTACCATGGAACAATAATGGTATCTAATAACACCATGGTACCGAATTATCACAATATAGACAATTGGTAATTGTTTGATCCTCCAATGCACTTCAAAAATAGCAACAAAATGGTAGCAGCCTACCATAGTATTTTTAAAGATTTTTTTTTATGACTGTTTATAAAATTACCCACAAATTCTTATCATTAGTCAATATGAAACCATGTTTATATAGGAGTAGCCAACAATATTATTCTCTCTTAACCTCAAGGCTTTAACTTTGAAAAATGAATATTGCAGAGGAACTGTGACCAACAGGAGTGTGACACATTAAGCAGCAGAGGGCGCATACAGAGTAAATGTAGGCTATGTGTTATATTATTGAAATAGTAATAGATTAAACAATCCGGGCAAGTATGGTTTCGCTCTAAAATCACACCCTCGATATTAATACATTACTGAAATACAGCAACACAAAAAAACGAACCTTTTCAAATCCATAGTCAAATCGGACGTTGCATGTGACGTCGCGCCGAGCGTGAGTGAGCTGAGGTCATTTCCTGTTTGTGCTCCCGTTGAGTCGCTAGACGGAGGCCTAATCGCGATACCAGCACCACTACCACCGCCGTAACATCGCTCACAGACCTACAAAGGACGGCCACGACGAGGTTTTAAAAGTCTTAAACGCGTCAGATAAGCGTTGTGGGATGAGTTTGGGCGACCGGGCTCGTGCTTTGGGCCACTGAGGGGCGGTTTGTGAGGATAATCGGGCGGTTGGGTGTTGTTATTTTTGGGGCAGCTGAGTGGTCATTGGCAGAGCTCAATACACAGCAGCTCGCGAGAGGAATAAATAACGTTACACACTTCACGTCTCGAAATACCCTCGTCTCACTCCACTTACATGGGCTTTTGAGGATTTCTACATTTCAGTTGACCAAAACAACGCAGGAGAATAAAAGTGGAGGTAAGGGACTAAAGCGTGCATCGATGATTGATGGCTAGCGTGATGTTTAGCCTAGCCCGAGTCTCTATATTTAAATTGCACTTAAATGTTATGTCCCGTTGACCACTGGGATACATTACCAGACAGAATCTCTTTACGAATGTGTGTTTCTTGTGCTTACTGGATAGATAAACTTCATCTCTCGTCATAACCCACGTTTGTTCTCCGTTTCCCTTCACAAATCAGTTTAATAATTAAAATAACGCTTATAGATCAATTTAAACGCATTTGGCGCGTATGCTTATCTCTCTCGGGGTCTTTGCATGTTATCTTCTTGTAAGTACATTATTTTGTCTTGACGAAAATCTCATTATTTTAGGTGAGTAAAAAGTAACAGCTCAATTAGTGTAAATGAAGAGTAAATTATCGATTAGGCCCTTTACACGTTGTACAGATGGATGTGAGTCTAACGTCATAGGACGAACTCATATACATGCTGGATTATCAAAAACATGTATGCCACTTTGCCTTTGGTTTTATTAATAGTGCTGCCATGCTGTTCCACGTGGAGTTCAGTTCTGTTTGCTTGTGTAAAATATTTCAACTTTATTTATGTTTGACAGATATGAAATAATGCACCCACCAGGTTAGTGCGCGAGTGTAAATGAGGCCTGAAGGTTATTGGGGTTGAGAGGGGTCAGTTTCAGGACTTCTCGTTCTGGAATTATTGCACAGAAAATGTGTAATCATTAGTTTGTTGAAATGGTCACAGCTCTTGTTTGTCTTTCTCTTGTGGACTTCAAAGTGCGTATGTGCGCGCGAGAGAGTTGTTGAAAAAGAGGAACAGTCAGACCACTGACCAACTGATATACACGCACACTAGATGCACGGCACGTATATGCCGGTGATGGAGACGGTCAGTGTGTTTATAATGCCAGTGCGTGTGTTAAGCAGTTGTGTAATGGACTAGCAGGGGCGTCACAAGGTGGGGATTTTATTTTGCTGGGATAATCCAGTGTTGTGCCCATGGTGATAGGACAGCATGCCAGATCTGTGCCAGAGGCATTGCTATGCCAGGAAACTCCTCTGGCACACACTGATCTTACTCGCCTCACAACAACAATGATAGAAAAAGCAGAAAAACAGCTTTCAGTTACTTCTGTTTGTATTGGGTTTGAGGTCTGAACAAACACCTTACTCTAAATGTTCAACCGTAGTATAGTTTTGTCCTGCTCCGTGTGTGCTAATACTCAAAATAAAAATTTGTGTCTTGCTGAGGACTGGAGAGGGTTTTTTTTTACATGATAAGCTATAGACAAAAAAAGTGGAAAATCCCACAGATTTGTATTATAGGAGCCATATCAAGACAACAAAAATTAAAGCGACTTTTTGACCACATTGCTTTAAACAAAAAAAAAAAACACATTTTTCTGGTAAACTATATATTTTTTTCATATAATATATCTTGAGATTATATATTTCTTATGTATTATTTTTTTCTTATATATTCTTATTCTTATATTATATATTTCTTGCTCCTCTGGCAGATTGATCATTAAAAGACCATTTAAGATTGCTTCTTTGACAATACCACTTATCTTGCACAATTTTACTTCTTTTAGTATATTTATATTGAAATTAATATTTCATCTTATTTGAGCCCTGAAATCTGAATGCATTATTTAGTGTTGTTTTGTCTGACGCACACAAAAGTAAAGACTTGTAATTGTATAGTAGGGTTGAGTTTGAAAAAAGTGACATTTGGAAATTCTCATGCTGAGAAATTGCTGAGAAAAGACAAAATATATAGGCTATAATTTTTATTATAATTTTACATATTTTTCTGATTCGACATACAATAAGTCGGAGGAATGATGTTTTTGACACATTGCAGTACATAAAGTATTTCATAGTAGTATTTCTATTATAGTATAGTAATTCTTAGGAAGTAATATAATTGGCTACATGCATTGTGAAGTTCAGAATTTAAGCTTTCAAATGATGACTCCTATTTTCTGTTGATCAAGGCAGTAGTTTTGAAAAATATGATTATTATTTTTTTCGTTGCTAGGTGGCACTTTTCCACTACTGGTATGGCTTGGTAAAGCGCGGCACGGTTCGGCTCGCTTCACTTTTCCACTGCGTGGTACAGCTCGGTTCGCTTTAGCTCGGTTTCTTTTCCACTGCAGTTAGTAACGCTTTAAAGTGGGTGGGATTATAGACTGACCGATAACGGCTATTTAATGGCTATTTAAATCTAGCAGGTTTGGTTTCTCGTGTCTGTCTATTGGTCGCAAATACAATGATGCTGCAGTCTTTCACATCACATTTAGTACCGGTACGGTACACTTGGAACCTCAACAGACCAGGTACCATTTAAAGCGAGCCTTACCGTACCGTACCATGCAGTGGAAAAGCGCCAAATCGTGCCGAACCATACTGTACCATGCAGTTGAAAAGCGACTTTATGGTGTGTTCACACCGGACGCGAATAGCGCGTCAGGCGCGAATGATTTCAATATTAAGTCAATGCAAATACGCGTGTAAAAAATTCCTGAGGTGCGAATGAGGTGTATAGCGTGGCGTGGTGGAAGACGCGAATCCGCCTCATTCGCGCGTCTGGTGAGTTAAGCGCGTTATGCGGGAATGATTTAGTTAGTGCCATTTGTGCATTCACGCGTTTGACGCGAATACGCGTCTGCCGCCTGACTTGAAAAATCTGAACTTTGTCATCAATTCGCGCCGCGTTAACCAATCAGGAGCCTACTTTCTCACGTGGTGAAGTATCTGGATGCTTCAATAAATTATTTTGTAATATGACTAAATGCATGGTGGGATTATGCACAACAAAGCAAATATTTTATCACTTAAAACTATTTCTATATACGAGACATGTTCATTTTGTATTGAATGTTATTCATTCCATATCTAGATTATATAAATAGTATTATTTATGATGTAAAGACAACCAACATACATGTGCGTAAGTTCGCGTCTGGACGTGAGGGAGAAAAAAAAAATCACAGGACAGGTTAATAACTTTTGACGGCTGGCTCTATAGATGGATGAGGACGAGGGTGATCCTCGCTCCAATGCGAGATAACAGGTCATCAAACTGGGCGCGTGACAGGCGGAAGTACCGCTGACAGCAGCAGTCATCCAGTGCAGCTCCTGGAGCGAGCAAATGTTGAAACTCGCCAAACGGTTCGCCTCCGAACGGTCCGGTGGACACAAATATATGGAGACGATGATCCCCACGCCGCTGTTCTGCTCTCCAGAGCAAATACAGAGCGATGAATGCTCGGTCGACCAAAAAAAAATGGCCGCCAACGGATTTCGATTCTGAGGCTCGTCACGTGCGTAAATTTCGCTTCAAACTTTTGTTTTTACGCACGTTAGTTTCACTCTTGACACGCGAATTAACACAAAGTAGACACGTCAGACGCGAATTTGACGTGCTTTTCGCGTCCGGTGTGAATGCAGCATTAGAGGGACTACTCAGCACTTGTTAAGAGTGGATCAAAATGGTTAGATGCATTAAAAAGCTGAGTTTCTAAACTTTAAAACCTTTGATACCTTTTTTTGTGCTATTCCATGTTGGAAAACAAGTATGGACGGTTCTGGGAACATTGCATCCTGGAGAGATAAGACATATTTTTAGCCAAGTATGTTGTATCACTTTTTAACCATTCTACGTGTGGCACATGCATGTTTTATGAAGTTATGAGCGAAAATGCCACATGAAATCTAAATATTTCAGACTAATAGTTATGAGAGACGATACCCACATCATTAAACGATAACTGTGACTACCGGTATATCAACATGTACAATAGAGTTGACGAAAAAAGACGAGACTAAAGTGTGTTTAAAAAAATACAAACTTGACTAAAACCACTTTTTTTTTGGTGAATAAAGGAGACAACGCCACATTATTACAGACTGTGTTTACAAGCGTTCATGCTAATGGTTGCCAGATTTAGAAACTAGACTAAAAGACAAAATAACTCAAATGTGACTAAGACCAAAAAGCTTTTTCATCTGAAGACTAAGACTAAAACAAAAATGGCTGCCAAAATGAACACTGTCGTGTCGTGCTGAACATTTTCCTGTTTTTTTTTTGTTTTTTTTGTGGTAAAAGTCATTAAATTTGCTGTTAAAAAATGTGTGGATACCCTGCAATCTATTACTTGTTAGCCTTAATACTTCAATATTTTTCTATGGCAGTGGCATATAGCCAACGGGATCGATGACAGGGTGTGCAAATGCTGCTCAAAACGCCACAGTCTTCACCAAATGATTGCACAATAAATGACGCAAAATCACAAGTGAACTAGAGCTGCGCGATCCTGGCTAAAATGAGAATCATGATTTCATTTTAAACACCTGAACATTTGGTTACCAAACAAGATGGAAACAAAATAAGGGATAATACTCTTTCAGTCAAATTTAAATGTTGCCATACCGATACTAAAATGTGACTTGAAAACTCTACAGATCATTGATTGGTCAGAGAGAATCGTCACTACCAGTCATTGGATTTGCAACACGAGACATCAAATCTGCTAGATATAAAAAAAGGCAGCAACAGCCACCACAGTATTTTTTTTCGCACAATTTATATTAAATGACTTGCTTGAAAAAAATGAACTTTAAAGGGATACTCCACCGGGATTTCATATTAAACTATGTTATTCCCTTAATTAAGACGAGCTGATGCATACCTCTCTCGTCTCAGTGCGTGCACTCTATCGCTCTGTATTGCCGCAAAACTATGTTAGCACTTAGCTTAGCCCAGTGCATTAAATATGGGCCAGAAAGAGAAGCGACCAAACACTTCCTCGTTTTCCCTATTTAAACACAGTTACTCGATTAGTGTAACTCGACCTAGGCTGGTGACACAAAATAAAACGTTGTGTTTTTCTAAGCGTTTAAAATTGATGACTACTGTATATTGTATGGCGGAATACCATAAATAGTGCTTTAGAGCACTTCAACTTGGCGCAATAATACCTTCACTC